ACTTTCCGTAGGCGTGATGTCCGCGGTGAATCTCAGTTCAACCGATAGTAGTTCGCCCCGTTGGACCTCCTTCCTCACGATGGACCCCAGTTGGTTGGCGGCAGTCATTGCAGGCCCAGTGGCGGCCAGCCTTCCGTTGTGGAATGGGCAGAGCCTGGCATGGACAATGGAGGAGGAGGCCAAGCCCAGCCCGCTCTCTCCAGGCCAGCTTGTGACCACTGTGCCGGTTTGGCCGGGGCAGAAAAACGAAGGCTTTTGCTTCCATGTCAAAGCAGCGACTCTGAATGTTCAAGGGACGCTGCAAAAGCATGCCTACCTCGAAGAACAATTCCAGGAGGCTGGCTATCAGATTATCTTCTTGCAGGAGACGAAGGAGAAGGGCGGATTGTGTAGGTCGTCGAGGTTTTGGCGCATTGGATCTGATGCCCGCAGCCACTGGGGCACGGCGGTATGGGTTAACCGGTGCCTCGGACCCTGCACCCGCGAGGGGAAGCCATGCTTGATTGCGGAGGAGGACTTACATATTGTACACAGCGATGAACGCCTCCTCGTCCTTTCCATCAAACTGGCACATTTTCACTGTGTGGTGGCCTCTGGCCATTGCCCACACTCGGGACGACCCAAAGAACGCCAAGAATTTATCCGCCAGCTCCACAAGGTGCTTGCCCCCTTCTCCAAGGTGCACCTCCTCGTGATCGGCATGGACCTCAACGGCAGGCCGCCGAAGAACTACGAGCAGGTCACTGGTGACCTTGTGTATGGGGATGAAGCTGCGCAAGTGTTTGAGGAGCTGGGAGTTTGGATCCCGGCGACCTTCAGTGCCTACCACACAGGGCCCTGCGCGACGTATCGGCACCCTCTGGGACATCTTCATCGTATCGACTTCCTGTGTGTAGGTGGCTCCGCCACTTGTTTCGGGGTATCCAGTGCGGTGAACTATGACCTTGATACAGCAGGAGCACATGATGATCACTTTAATTTGTGGTCCAGCTCGACCTTGCTGGGACTTGTGGCCCAATTGGTGGGGCATCAAAACTTTGGCGCCCGAAGTACGACAGGCTGAAGGGGAAGGCCACTCTGGAAAAAGAGTTGGCGAAATACTGCCCACCCCCTTGGACCATGCATGTGGACCAGCACTGCCAACACTTGCAGAGCTTCTTGCACGAGGTGATGTCAACTCACTTTGCGGTGAGTCCCAATGGGCCGCGGGCCTCCTACATCCCGGCATGGGTATGGGAGCTCCGAGAGAAAAAGCTCAATTTCAAGCGGCGTACCGGACACAGAAGGCGCACACTCCGCCATCGACTACAACGTGTGCTCCGTCTTTGGCGGGATGGAGCAGGGCGACACGACCCCAGGGCGGTCAAGGAAGACCTCCTCTACCAACTGGCGGCCACGGCGGTCGGGGTTGTCACCCCAAGGATCAAGTTTGGCATCCGCAATGCTAAGGCTGACTTTCTGCGGACCCTCGCGGGAACTGGTACGACAGCCTCGCAGATTTTTGAGAGGGCCAAGAAGGCAGGCATTGGAGGAAGACGTCAGAAGACATCTTTCAAGCCTGTGCCCAAACTTGTGGGGCCAAATGGCCAAGCAGCCACGACGAGGAGCGAGAGGGACGCAATTTGGCTACAGCATTTTGGCGAGATGGAGATGGGCACCACCATGTCGATTGAGGAGTTCCTCCACGGAGCCTCCACGAGTGTCCGCGTCGCCCAGTGTACCGCTGGAAGCTATGTGGCAGCCGCATGAGCTGCCCAATCTGGTGGAGATTGAGGGCCTGCTGAGGCGTACTCAGGCAGGGAAATCGCCGGGGCTTGACGCCATCCCCGGAGAGTTGTTACGAGGAGCCCCGGTTGGGGCTGCAAGAGCAGTGTTGCCCCTGTTTGTGAAATCACTGGTGACATTCACCCAACCTCTCCAGTGGAGAGGGGGAGTGTTACAGTTACACTCAGCATGGAAGCAGGCTGGACCGATCGAGGCCCCATCCAGTCACCGCTCCCTCTTCGTGAGCAGCCTTTTGGGCAAAACCCTGCATCGCGCCCTGCGCGACAAAGCACATGGATGCTTCGGGGAAGTGCTCCACGAGGTCCACTTTGGGATGAAGCGAGGAGCTCCAGTGACTTTTGGAGCGCAGTTTTTCGCCAGCCATATGAGATACTGCAAGCGGGTCGGGCTTTCTGCATGCACGCTCTTCCTCGACATGCGTTCAGCATGTTATAGAGTTATTCGGGAAATCGCCACCGGAGACCTGACGCAGGACGGCAGCATCCTCCGGATCTTCCGGCGCTTCGACATCGACGGCGAGGAGGCCAGAGAGCTCTTGGAAGCGGTGGCTGGTGGTGGAGCCATCAGAGACTCTGGAGTCAGCGCGGCGATTTGCGCCGCGGTTGCTGACTTCCATAGAAGGACGTGACGTGGTTTGTCAGCGCACAGAGCAGTGGGGACAAGCTCAGTGCCACGCTCGCTGGCTCGCGCCCAGGCGAGTCCTGGGCGGACGTCCTCTTCGGATACGTTTATTCACGTGTCCTTTGTCGTGTCGCCGAAATTGCCACAGCGGAGGACCTGCTCACGATCCACCACTACGACGAGGAGCTGGGAATTTATGGGCAGCCGCATCACGGAGTGGCATACAATGCCCGAGACACTACATGGGCCGACGATTCGGCCTTTCCGATGTCGGGCCGTAGTCCGGAAGTGTTGTTGAAGAAGGCCAACAGGCTCGGCTCGCTCATACTGAGCTACTGCCGCTCATACGGCATGGATCCCAACACGAAAAGAGGGAAGACGAGCTACCTGATCTCCCTCCAGATTGCTGGAGTGGCCAAGGCGGCACATTTCGAACCAGGCGGTAGGGACCCACATTTGGCGGACCTGGACGTCCGCATCCCTGTGGTCCCGAGTTACACACATCTGGGAGGTGTGTTGGATTCGGGAATGCTGATGAAGGATGAGACCCGTCGCAGACTAACGACTGCGAGGGGATCATTTGATGCGGGCAAGCTACTCCTCTACCAGAACCCCACGGTCCCCCTGGAGGTGCGGACGAAGCTCTTTGAGGCGGCCATCCTCCCATCCTTCTTCAACTTGTGTCTCTGGGAGCCACATGGTGGGCAATGGACGCGCTTGTGCAGCGGCTACTCCCGACTGTTGCGGCGTCTACTACAACCACAGTTCGGTGCGAAGGACATATTGCGCCTCTCGACGCCCCTGGTGCATGCCCTGTGACCCAGTGCTGGAGGTTGGAGACTGAGGCAGTCAAAGCGAGGCTTGGCCTGCTATGCTCCCTGGTGAAGGTGAACCCGCCTCACATTTGGGCGGTCCTCCAGTCAGAGCAGGGCTGGTTGAAGGTGGTTCGCCAGGACCTACAGCTGGTGGTGAAACAGGGTGGCGAGTGGCCGGAACTGGGCCGTCGAACTGGCCCCAATGGTGGCACCTTATCAAGGCCAGCCCTGGGGCTTTCAAGGCCCGAGTGAAGAAGGCCCTACAGCGACATCGCGAGGAGGTCGCGAAAAGCGAGCTGGTGCAACTGACTAGCCCTTTGGGCGATGTTCAGATGGGCCGTGCAGGACCAGCCACGACTGGAATGGGTCGAGGCCAGACCATGTGGACAGAGCTTCAAGAGTAAAGCCGGCATGGGGGCCCACATGTTCAAGGTGCATTCCCGAAAAGCCCAATTTCGAGGATGCATCAGTGGCACCATGTGCCGTGCATGCGGCAAGCAATATTGGTCCCAGGCGAGATTGGCGATACATCTTCGAGATCGTCCCCAGTGTGTTCAAGTGCTTCGCCAACATGGACTGGGAGCCTGTGCCATACAGCCAGGCTTTGGGAGCAAGGAGTGGAAGCGTCGCTCTGATGAGGAGTTTTGCCTGCTGGTGATGCATGCTGACCTCTGCTACATGCTGTTCGAGAGCAGAAGCTGGGGTTCTCGGTCGAGTTTGCGGTGCGAGATTGAGGAGGTCCTGTGTAAGTTCCCACTCTACCGCACGGAGGAGAACGAGGTCCTCAGCTATGTCAGCGACGAGGTGGCTCTGCTCCAGCGAGACGATCCTTGTGATCCATGGGATGAGGGCATGGGTGACCTCATCATTGATGTTCTGGCGGAGATCCAGGAGTCACCTCTCTACGTCGAGCAGTTACCTGAGGATGAGGTCAGCGAGACTGTTTCCCTCAGGGAGTTCACGACCGACAACTGGCAGACCCTCCATCGCCAACTGCTGAAGAATCGTGGGACCCGTGCACAGCCGTTTGTACTCCTGGGGCCAAGCTGGGAAGCAGAAAAGCCTGCCTTCAGTGACGGCTGCCAGCTTTCTGCCACGATAGATGCAGTTTTGGCGAGTCTTCCTAAGGAACTTCAGGAGCTCTGGGACCTAGTCCTGCAAGGGCGGGTATCGGAAGTACAGGCTCCTGAATCCTTTTGGTGTTCTCCTCTGGCTGCACCTTTTGCGCCTTTGAGGAGTTCTGTGCACTCTTATATAATTAGGCCGCGTGCACCACTGAAGGCATCGGAAATCCCGGAAATATATGTATATCCAATATATCCACATTGTCTGTCTGTGTGTCTGTCTGTCTGTCTCTGTCTGTGAGTTTGTCTGTCTGTGACTCTGTCAGTCGGTCGGTGGGTCTGTCTGCGTGTCTCTCTCGCTCTCTCTCTCTCTCTCTCTCTCTCTCTCTCTCTCTGTGTAGCTGCATGTCGTGTTTGTAAGTACACGCATGTACGGATGTGTTCACATACGTACGTGCGTGTGTAGTTATGTCAGCAAGTTTATGTGTGTACACATGCCAGCACGTGTGTATGTGTATACATATATATGCATACACACACACACATACGCACTCGTTCGTACACAATTTATCGGTTTCGGGATCTGCATCGTTACGGTACCGGATTCGGGATGTGCAGGGAGAGAATTTTTCCAGGACAACTTGAGCGTTTAGCCGAATTTGAGCCTCAACCCATGACACTTTGAGGTAGAGGTATAGCCCAGCAAGGTCTATGCCTGGGCAGTCGTCAAGCGCCACCTGAAGCCGCTCCGCGGCTGTTTTGGCAACTTCCTGGCTGCCAAATTCCACTATCGTTTGATATACTGTTGGGCGATTGCTGCTGGCGAGGTGCTGCAAAAGCACCTTTTCCAAAGCCACCTTCTTCGAAAGACTGCCAGTGGCTGTGTGATTGACAGGGCGAATGAGAACCGCAGTCGCACGAGTGGCAAAAGAATCATTCGCAGGGATCACATCTAGGTGATGCTCTGTAGCTCTTGTCTGACGGGCAAACACTGCGGCTGGGCTGCATCTGAATCGGAAATCTTGCATGCATCCTCAACAGTATGAAGTAAACCTTCAATCCCTAACAACGTGAAACCTACAGTCGGCTGCGGGGGTCCTTGCGGAGCTGCTCCACAGCGTGGCGGAATTCGACCTGACCGGTGCCGGAATTCTTCAAAGCGGAAAATCTAGACTTTTGTGACATCGCATGGGAGCCATGTCAAAGTTCATGCATTACTGTACGCCATTGGTGGTGCCGCACATGTCATCTGTGCCAGGTCTGCCCGAGAAGAACAGTTGGCAACAAATTTGCCTGACGCGACTCTTGCAACATCTTTCAACACACTTGACTCTTGACAGGACGAAGCTTCTCAGAAGGAACCCGAAAGCTCTGCAAGCGGACGTGATCGTGCATCGCGATCTGCTTGGTGCTCATGCAACTCGGAGCCGCACTCTCTTTTGGTGAACCCGGCCTCCTAGTCGTAGCTTGGAGACAAACCCTGAACCTGAACCTGGAAGATTTAGCATGCCGAAGTGCTTTCCCTGCGCAAGCAGCAGAATCCCAGAAGGCTAAGTCGGCACAGGCTTAGTGCTGGACATTCCGCCTCAGGATCAGAATGCTGGCAGCGATGGTGGCTCGCACCCTGCATGCTCACTGCTTGCGTATGCAGCACAACCCCCAGGTGCAGCGCCACACGAAAATCAGTATATCAAGTCAAGTGGTACTCCCAAGTCAAGTGGTACTCCCTGACATAAACGGAGCTACTGCACGAAGGGACACTGAAGAATATCCTTGCGATGGCAACTGTGATTAGACAGGAACCCGGTTAGGCATCATAAACAAAAAAACTTCATCATTCTGGAGAGCCTCAGAGACACACCTTCGACATCAAAGCAAGAAGCATGGCTTCAGAGCTAACCCGTGTTTTTGAAGATTCATGGGACTCAGTGCCCTTGGCATTACTGTAACATCTGCAGCGATCAGCCAACCTGCCAAAGACTCCGAGAATGTGATTGCACTCCCGGAGCGAGGAAGACTTCTCAACATCAACAAAAGATTCTCTCGAGCAGGCTCCCTGACCCTGAAATTCCATGCCCCAACTTGAAGTGACAGCCGAATCTTGAAACTTGCGCCCTAGAATACACATACGACCCTTAAAGCCGAGACGACATGCTTATTGATTGACCATTATTCCACCCCTTTGCCGCTGCATCACTCGCAAATGAACCCCACATTGATGCCACCTACTAGTAGCTGATCTCTATGCTTCTTCTGTAGCATCCTGGAAAAAAGGGAGACGGACATGCAATTGGCTGGAGCTTGTTACGCGCAGTCTTCATTCCTGAGCGCTTGGCCTGCACCCTGAACTGCCAATCTCACTGCCTCCTGAACGAACAGTTCCAGAGCCTCGGCTTGTGCTCGGGAGGTCAAGCGCAGCTTCGCCAGGTCAAGGCGCAGGCGGCGCAGGGCTTGGGTGCACTTCGCTTGGAGCTGAGTCATTGCAGCCAGTGGGGGGGCTTTTGCTCCAGACTGCACGCTGAAGCTGAGGGCAGATCTCCATTTTCCTACGAGTACGGCGAGCAGCGAGGACCAGACAGTCAGACAGCTGGCAGCTTAGAGGCCATGGACTAGCAAGGCGTTTCTTCATGTCACTTCATCGACCTCTGCCTTGAACAGCAACCGAGCTCCGCTTCTGACTCCTAGATCTCGACGAGCGCTTGCGAACACCGTGCCTGTAGGACACTCAGTCGACTCAGGTACCGACGCAGGAAGCCGATGCGCAGGTCTTCTGCGCCCTCGCAGCAAGTGTGGAGAAAGTACGTGGCAATATCCGGCGACAGGAGTGTACAGGCTTCGACGGCTTAGACGAGGATCATCAGGGCTTAAGTGGGCTTACTGGTACGGCACCGGCAACAAATCGCAACATCCATCCACTGTGCCATGCATTGAATAAACTTGAAGTGAACGAGCCGAAATCACAATTGAAGTTCCTTGGCTGCGATGGCGCTGACATTCGCCTCGCTGCCGAAATCGACGACCTACAGCATTTGTGAAGACAAGGCGTCAGGATTTCCAATCCGATGAAGCAGACATACTTTGTGGGCACTTCCTGCATGCATCAACATCTCCTCCTGGAGCTGAACTCTGCCAAACAAACAAAGAAAACACAGCCCTCTTGTGCGCCTGAGAGCTACTCAGCACACCTTGGCACGCGAGTTTCGAGCGTTTTCAGGGACCTTGACGCAAGGGTTGGGATTCAAGTTGGGATACCTTCGAGGATCATTCGGTATGCTGTTTCCCAAAGGTGGACTCGTGAGAAGAGTTTGCCTGCAGTGTTTGGCACGTGGTGTGTATGTGCCATCATACACGTTACGAACTCTACTTGCTGCAACCAAACTTGGCAAGGATTCTTCTCAGGATCCGGGCAGCAACAGCGTTCTCGTAGATCTTGATCGACATACCTACCAGAAGATGGGAGTGCAAGTATGTCGAAGGCTGGTCGAAGGATTTCAGGGACGCAGATTCTGCCAATACTGTCTTATAAGATGCTACGTCCACCGAAAGACAGACTCACATAGGCTCCCTTTCAGTTGGCACCGCGCAGGAAACTCACCTTCCTTTCTGCGGAAGGCCCTGAAAACGCTATCCCCACTTTCAAAAGGAGTCCTAACCCCGGCTAATGGCCCAACTCCCCAGTCTCCTTTGGAGATGGGGGGGAGGCTCTGGAGGGCAGGGAAGCTCTTGTGCGCCTCTGACGATCTCATAACTTAGTAATGAGGAGCTTGGTTGATCCATCTGTCACTCTTTGGACCTTCCGTTCTGACATGTGGTCCAAATTGGCACAGGAGCTTCCGCGTGCCAAGTGCCCGATAAAGAGTTCTTGCGCCATCAGCAATCGAGATGGCCAGCTGTCCAAGAAGCCAAGCGATCCTGGATTCAGGGGCCTTCTGCTTCGTCTGCCGCGGTCTCTGGCCTGCAAAACGCAGCTTCTGCTTCCAGAGCCGACCAGTCAAAGCCTAAAGAGGCCTTTATCTATCTGAATCCTGAACTCAATTGAAAGCTGTAACTCCGAAGTTCGGTAGCCCAAAATCAAAACTGTACCATGTTCAAGGCCTTCTCAAAAGACAAGTTCGAAGACAAGAGCAACGCAGGAGAACTCTGGCTAGGGGGCACGTGAGAGAGGGGTCTTTGAGCCCATGAGTTTCAGACTCTGGAGAAAACGGAAAGTCCGTGATAAAATGGCGACGCTTGTTTCCCCTATCTGGGTTACAGCTGGAGCCCTGTGGCTCGTACGCACAAGAAACACGGTAATAATGTCCAGAACGGCAGTCGGAGTTCAGCAACGAACCTGCAAGTACCTGGCCCTAAACTACAGAAGTGCCTCTCACCAACAAGACCGAACCACCCGACCCTCATTTGCAGCAAAGCCGCCCGGTTGGCAGATTCGGCAAGTCTGCTTGCCTGAAGGCGTGCCGCAGGATGCAGGCACCGAGTGTTTCGCTGGGATGCAGTGAAGACTGAAGACACCACTTTCATTGACACGTTTGCACCCAGAACCTCCATGCTGGAGCTGCAATAGTGACAAGTTGCACCCCTGCCAATGAACCCAACACCACTTGGCAAAGGCGGCCGGGGGCCTTGGAGGCTCCATCTCTGCAGCAGCGACCTCGGATGCACGATTCATAACAGTATCACAGTATCAGTGACAAGCGCGTACAGACTTCGTTGTTGTAGTGGAGTTTAGGCACCTCTGGACACGGTAGCAAGCTGTGAATTGCCACCGCCACCTTGTCAAGCAAACGACCGCTACGCTCTTAGCCAAGAGTGAGGATTCAAGTTCTGATTTTCATGGCCTGAGCACTGCCCTTGACAACCCAATCTGCTAGCAAGCACAAATCAGGATGATCTAATCATGCAAGCCGTAAGTTCAACAAGACATTCCGTGCCAGGCCGCACCATGCTTTTGGCCAGTCAACCCGGCCAAGCCAAAGAATCAAAGGTTCTTACGGCAATCGAAGTGCTGAGTTCTCAAGATGATTGTGGCATGAGAGGAAATGACACCTCCGTATCGACTGCACAGCCTTCACAAGCTGTTGGAAGATGGTTTCCACATGTTTTCACCGGATACAAGCATCTCTATCCACACATGGCTCCTCACATCTTGTCGCCCTCCCACCCTTTTGGCTACTCCGTGACATTTCACGGATCTTTTGTGGAGTGTACCTGCGGAAGGCTTGCTTGGTCCACGACATGAGGCTTCCATGTTAGGTTACCGGCTAGAAGACTTGCTGCCGGAGATACCTCTCGCAGTCTCCAACTCGAAACTCAGGGTATCCACTAGGATATGGTCTCTGACGAGTTTGAAGGCGAGATATAGACTGCTTGAGCTCCCTACTGTACAAAGTCAGCTGTGCGAGATTGGGGAAGGACGCAAAGGGTTCTCTGATTTCAGTTGAGGGTGGGTTTGTTTAGATATTCTCAGCTGCCGACGCACTTCAGCGGCTGCGCGGTTGGCGAATCCGGGTCGGGCCTGGGCTCACAACAGGCCGCCGGCAAGGCCCGGGGGGGAGTTTCGACAGCACCTCGTCTTGAAACGGAGTTTTTTTCATGGGCCCGAATACTACCACTCTGTATGTGGCCCCATGTGCACGTTGTGCCGCTTGCAAGCTGAATCTGCCTGGCCAGTGAAGGGACTCCATCTAAGCTGCATCGGCTTGCGGATGAGGCTCAGGTGGAGCTATACTTCTCCTTTCTTGGGCTTCTCCGAAGTTGCTTCCTGCCCCATACCCTGGCCAGCAAAGGAATGCCATGATGGGCTGAAGAATGTGCTCTCAAGCGAACGAGCTGTAGCTTTGGAGGAACTGGGGAACAAGGATTCTGCTTGAAGTTCGGTGACGAAAGGCTATGGCCAAGGGTTTGGGGCCCTTGAAACTGTTCGGGCTTGCAGACTTTGCATGGTCTGGGCATGTCGAGGGAGTTTCAGCAGAATCTTCTCACCTTTGCGGGCTTTGTGGTCTTTGTTGAGATGGCGTGATGGCTTTCGGTGTGATTGCAGCCAAGCTGCACCTCTGCCACCTGTCACTGACTTGAAGGCGTGCTTCGAAGCGAGGCGAGATCAACGGCAGGTTGGTCCAGACAGAAGGCTTTGCAAGCAAACTTACAGAATTGCTCGGGCTTTCTGCGGACCACCGAACCTCCACCAACCCGAAGCCTTGCACATGCAAGTTCGCAGCATCCCTGAATACAAGTGGTCCAAGCCGTTCAGTTCAGTGTCACAACCTCTATGGACTTCCTGCTCGAGAGCTTCTCTTCGATGCTGGGGGCGTACGTCGCAGCTTGGAGACTTGCATCGGCGAGGATTCGATTCTTAGCACCAGCCTTGTCTATCAACTCCTCTCGGTTGTGCTGCCAGATCATGTACGCAATGCCGGCGATGAAGCTGACAATGGCTGGCACCTGCACCAACGATGTATGATCAAGTAAAGCGATGTAGGGCTCCGGTGCTCAGGGACGTCGTAAACAAAGCTTCCCCAAAGCTCGGGAGCTTCATGCTCCTCTAGCCTGATGCCTCTCTCTGATATGCATCGTACTCCCTCCTAGCCGCCCGCACCGGCTCTGCCAGACTATCCACTCCATGCGACCCTTGCTGACATCAAGGCAAAATCTACTCGTTTAGCATTGTCTGACTCTGAGTGGGCGATAGACGCGCAGACATGTAAACCACGAGAGCCCCTCGAAAAGAGTATTATGTATATATATATATATATACAGATTGATATTGATATACGTGTTTGAGACCGGGCACCAGCAAGCTGAGTTCGGCTGCCGCTGTTGCGAGAGCACTTCCCGCTGCGACTCCTGGGGCATGCAAAGATTTCTCGCCTGGGGCGACGGGTGGGGTGTTACTGTACTAAGTAAGACGTACAGTATCCGGGCAGTTGACTTTCAGATTCTGTTACGCATGTTACGCTTGAAAGCTCACCATCCGTGCCACCAGGGGACCTCCGCACAACTGTCGCCTAACAGCTGTTCAGATGTGCGATGAGCACGCGCGAAGACAGCTTGGCTCGTTCTGATCTAGTGGTCCGTCGTGAACCAAGACGTTCCGTGCTTGCGGCATGTCCGATGGGTGCAAGAACTGAACTTTGCATAGGAACACCCAGCGTTAAAGCCACCGGAGTCCGGAGTGAACGCAGGAGAACATCCCAGAAGCCTACTGCAGCCTACTGCAGATCACATGCTACTAGAACAATGCTCCTGCGATGAAGCTGAAGAGGAGCAGTACCAAAAGCATTAGCTTCCTGCCCCGAAGAAGCTCACTGAACTGTCGAGAACATGGGATGTGGCTTCGCCAACTAATCCGTGTGCAGCCTGCTGAATGCTGCGACATGACATGGTGACTTATCTGTGGCGTGCGTGTGAAAGCCGGACAACGCGTCAACCTCACTGCACTCACTGCAGGAAAAGCAAAGATCTAATCACGGTTGGCTGTCGGTGACGGAGTGAGAAGACCAAGAGAGAGAGAGGGAGAGAGAGAGAGAGAGAGAAAAACAATGAAATGAGAGCAAGAACGACCCGGTGCGCCTCTCGTCTCCAGCCTCGTCATCTGCGACCCTGTCCAGGCTGTCACATGCTACCGCAGCATTGGGATATGTGGTGCTTCCATGCTCTTTAGGAAGTTCATGGGACCCACTGTCCAGCCCCTTCTTCTCCAACCGCTCTGGCTCTAACCTCTCGTCAGGATGAGCCAGGAATCTGGAATTCTAATCTCTGACCAATTCTTACACAGTCTCGTTCTGAAGACAGCCCAGGAGCTTGCGATGCTCGCAGCATCGGCAACGCCCGAAGCAGCGCTTTTGAAAGAAAGACATCAAGTGCCTGCTTGCGGATTCCGTCTGGGGTGACCAGCTTATGCGGGGCCGCGTGTGTGCAGCTTCAAGGGGTTTAGCCTTCCTCGCTAACCTCTCGCCTGGAAGTTGCTGAAGTAGGGCTGTCGGGATGATTTACACCCGCGAGCAGCTTCGAAACATTCGATTCTCTGAGCCTCCCGGTGATGAGGCCGATGTCCGTGGCGATGCCAGTCATGTGCGTGGTGCGGATGGCTGAACCGCTGTAGGAGGACATGATACCATTCTGCAGCCCACAGGCCTGGGCGTGGGCCGAAAGTGACAAGACTGCTTGCGAGTGCCAAGATGTTTCGTCGACATCCGCATGCGGGAGAACAGGGCGCCTGTGGCTAGAATCATGCCTGCATCATGGTACCGAGACTTCCCTAACGCTTGTTATCAGATTGGGTTGTGAGACAAGCATCGCATGACCTGAGGTTCACCCACCATTGTGAATACACCATTGCTCAGCTCTGGTCGGTCCACCGACATTTGGCCATCACTGCGCGCCGACTACAACCACTTCGGAACATCTTCAATGCTGCGAGATGAGTCCGAGGCCAGACTGAGGATGT